AGGCCACCATCCATGGTGGAACCGAAGCCACCCAAGATGCCACCTTCACCCCCCGCCTCCTTGTCACCCGTGGGGCCACCTTCACCCCTGGTGGAGGAGGAAGAGGAGGAGGAGGAGGAGGAGGAGGTGTCCTTGTCCCCACCGGGTGGCCCCGACCTGGCCTTGGAGGAGCTGGACGTCACCGAGTTGGCCTTGGCCGCCGGGCTCTTGGGGACGTCAGGGGGGACGAGGAGGGGGGGGGACAGCAGCGAGGAGGAGGAGGAGGAAGATGAAGAAGATGATGGTGGTGATGGTGGCCACCACCCTGCTCCTCGAGGCGGCCCCTACTACCGCTACCCCCGCACGGTGGTGACACGGGGACAACCTTGTCCCCTCCCCCTGCCGCCCCACATCCACCAGTTGGACGGGGTGGACGACGGGGGGGACAAGGGGCCACCACCCCCACCCTTGGGGCCACCACCACCATCTTTGGGGCCACCACCACCACCTTTGGGGCCACCACCATCTTTAGGGCCACCAGCACCATCTTTGGGGCCACCACCCCCACCCTTGGGGCCACCACCACCATCTTTGGGGCCACCACCACCACCTTTGGGGCCACCAGCACCACCTTTGGGGCCACCACCATCTTTGGGGCCACCACCACCATCTTTGGTTCCACCACCATCTTTGGGGCCACCAGCACCACCTTTGGGGCCACCACCCCCACCCATGGGGCCACCACCCCCCGGCGAGGACCTTCCCTCTGACATCGTGGACTTTGTCCTGAAGAACACGGCGGGGGGTGGTGGCACCAAGGGGACAACGGGGGGGGACGTCAACAGAGGAGGTGGCACCTCGTGGGGCACCCCCCAGGAGGTGGGAGGAGGTGGTGGTGGCACCCATAGGGACGTGGTGGGTGGCCTCTGTGGGCGTCACCGAGGAGATGGCAACCACGGGGACCTCTTTGGTGGCCATGGTGGCCCTGGAGATGGCACCTGTGGAGATGGCACCCATGGAGGTGGCACCCATGGAGATGGCACCCACAGACACGTCCTTGGTGGCCCTGGAGACGTCACCCATGGAGATGGCACCCATGGACATCTTCTTGGTGGCCTTGGAGATGGCACCCGTGGAGATGGCACCCACAGACACGTCCTTGGTGGCCTTGGAGACGTCACCCATGGAGATGGCACCCACAGACACCTTCTTGGTGGCCTTGGAGATGGCACCCGTGGAGATGGCACCCATGGACACGTCCTTGGTGGCCCTGGAGATGGCACCCATGGAGATGGCACCCATGGACACCTTCTTGATGGCCACAGTGGCCCTGGAGGTGGCACCCATGGAGGTGGCACCCATGGGCACCTTCTCGGTGGCCTTGGTGGTGCCACCCACAGACACCTCTTGGGTGGCCACAGCACCCACGGAAACGCCACCCACAGTCACCTCGTCCCCCGCGGAGATGCCACCACCAACGGCCACCTCCCCCACCTCAACGGCACCCACTGGGTGTCACCCTGGGGACCCCCCGGGGCACCCAAACGTCCCGGGGACCCCCTGGGCCCTGGGGGCAAACGGGCGCGGCTGGAGGACAACGGCGAGGACAAGGGGGACGGCGGGTAAGGACCACGCCCCAGGGCACCCATGGGTGACACCGGGTGGGGCCACCACCATGGGACCACCCCCAGCCCAGTTGGGTCCATCCCAGTTGGGTCCATCCCAGTTTGATGGGTCCATCCCAGTTGGACCATCCCAGTTGGACCATCCCAGTTGGGTCCATCCCAGTTTGATGGGACCATCCCAGTTGGACCATCCCAGTTTGATGGGACCATCCCAGTTGGGTCCATGGGTGTCCACCACGGTGGGTCCATCCCAGTTGGGTCCATCCCAGTTTGATGGGACCATCCCAGTTGGGACCATCCCAGTTGGGTCCATCCCAGTTGGACCATCCCAGTTTGATGGGACCATCCCAGTTGGGTCCATCCCAGTTTGATGGGTCCATCCCAGTTGGGACCATCCCACTTGGGTCTCTGGGTGGCGGGACCCTCCCAGTTCCTCCCAGTTGGGTGCCCCTGCCCTCTGGGGAGGTGACCCCGGGTGGCAGGAGCACCCATGGGTGCTGGTGTCACCCACAGGCCGGGCCGGGTCCCGCTGCCCCAACCCCGGGAGGTGGTGGACGTCAAAGAGGAGGAGCCCGATGACGTCAGCGACAGCGGGAGCTTCGGGTGAGCACCCACCCCCACCCATGGGCGCCCACCC